TTTAAAGTCTGTAATTTCCCAAGTTTTGTCATACGTATATACATATGAAACCTTCACCATAATCAAGTTAATGCAGATACTCATCACCCCAACAGTTTCTTAACACCCCTTTGTAATCCTTTCCTCCAGGTACCTCCCTGCCCCTCACCTCACGCTGTGTAACAATGGATCCACTTTTAGTCGCTAGAAATTAGTTTGCTCTATGGTATGAGGTATAGACTAGAGTTCATCATCTTTTTCTTTCGCAAATGGATACTCAGTTTTTCCAGTGACATTTGTTGAAACTAGTCCCCCCCTCCCCATTAAAGTAACTTTGTATTTTGTCAAGAACCAACTGTATGTAACATACATGGGTATATTTCTTTGATCTATTTTTCTGTCTTTGCACCACTACCACATTTTCTTGATTCCTACGGCTTTGTACTTAAATCCTGACATCAGGTAGTGTTAAAGTTCGGCTATTTAAGTCCTCTCCTTTTTCATACAAATTTTAGCATTTGCTTGTCAATTTCTATAAAATAGCCTCATGGGATTTTTGTTTGGGCTATAGTGAATCTGTAGATAAATTTTTGGAGAACTGACAGCTTAAGAATATTGAGTCTTTTGACTCATGAACAAGGTATATCTCTCCAGTTACAGAGACCTTTTAACATTTCTCTCAGCAACATTTTCATACACCAAAAAATATGGTAAAATGCTTAGGGATAAATCTGATAAAATATGTGTAACACCTATACAATGAAAACTCTTAAAATACTGCTGAGGAAAAAACTGAAATAGACTTAAATATTTGGTTCTTAATTATGTGTTGTATTTCTTGCTTTATATTGTTATTTTCTTCCTTTATCTCCTTTAGTTAATATTGATAACTCTAATCAAAAATTTTTTGACTTGTCCTAACATTTCCGATTTCTGTTGGAGTCTGTAGTCCAATATTATTGTTGTTGTTGTTATTACTTTAGAAAGGCTGTTTTCTCCTCAAATGTCTTATTAACTGATTCTGTGAGGCAATGCTATAGGCAAAGGCCAGTCTTCTGTGTCAGTCCAAAGCAGTTCAGGAATTGGAGGTGAATGAACCTGACTTAAGAGTACAGAGGTCCAAGCACCAGAAAACCACAATCACCACAGTCTTCTCCACAAAATAATTCCTCTGTCAGAAAAACATTCCCCTTCCTCATTCTCAGAGAAAATGAGAACTGTAATCCTCTAGCCCTGCAGTTTACAGGGGGCTGAGTGAACACACGATAATTTGTCATCTGGTCCCATCAAGGTTTCCCAGCTCCTCACAAAAACAGCACTGTGAGCTGCCCTGACTTTATCCCTGAAAACGCTTGGACCAGAGACCTGAGTCTTTCTGTAAGGGGCGGGTGGCATATATCCCTTGGCCATGGCCCATGATGTGAAAGAACTCCAAAGGTTCTGCTCACATCTCCTTCTTCCCTCACTCAGGCTGAACTGCCTCTTGCCTCAGGTCAGAGCACACGCACATTTTGTGTATCCTCATCTCAAAAACACAAGTTCAAAATAGCATCCCCCTCCTGGCTTCCCAGGTGGCACTAGTGGCAAAGAACCTGCCTGCCAGTGCAGCAGACCTAGGGGACGTGGGTTCGATCCCTGGGTCGGGAAGATCCCCCGAGGAGGAAATGGCAACCCACTCCAATATTCTTGCCTGGAGAATTCCAAGGACAGAGGAGCCTGGGCGGGCTATAGTCCATGGGGTCGCAAAGAGACATGACTGAAGCGACTTAGCACGCATCCATGGTTACCTTAATACTGGAAATTTCTTGTAGATTTCTGCTTATTTTCTCTTTCTAAATACCTGCTGGGTTGATCTTAGAAGACAGAAGCAGGCATCTTATAGTTTAGAATCAATAATCTTATAATTCAGAATCTTGAACTTGTAACAGGAACTGGGACCAAATTTCTAATATAAAACTTTCAAGTAGTCAAGTTTCCTCTATCTACCATCTTAATGCACCCACAAGTTAAGGTATGATATCATAATGATAATTATAATTTTTTTGAAATGAGTTATTTTAAAATGTATTTTTAATTTCAAACTTTAAAGAAATTATCTTTTTCTTAATGATTTTCCTTAATCATATTCAAGTTAAAGAATATGTTCTTTATGACACATATTCATTAAAATTTGTTGGTAGTAGCTCTGGCCTGGAAAGTGGTAAATTTTTGAAAATATCACATGTGTCTTTGAGAAGAATGTATGTGGGTGAAAGGGGTTATATAATAACATTAAGTTTGTTAATCATTTGTTATGCAAATTTTCTGATGGCTTAAGCTATCAGTAATATGAATGCTCTACTGAAGTGGGAGTGCCAAGATGGTGGGTTAGTGAGTTTCTCCATTCATTGATATTAATATTTGCTTTATATATTTTTGTAGCTATTTTAATATACAAAATAATAAAATCATCTTTTTGGTAAGTTGAACCTTTTATCATTAAATAATGATTTTCTTAAGCTTGTTAAGGCTTTCATTGTCAAGTCGGTTGGTTTGTTATGAGAGCTCTCTTTTACAGTATATCTGATACATGCTTTTTTAGTTTTCCAACTTTCTTTTGGCATTATTTCAGGTGTGTCTCTTATAAAGAACATATAGTTGCACTTTAAAAGAAAAACCAAATCTGCTTAGCTTTGCTTTTAACAAACAAATTTAATCCATAAATATTTACCATAGTGACTAATACATGGTTTTGATTCAGTTTTCAATTTTTGTTTTCCTCTGTGTCCCATTTTCTCTATGCTTTTTTTCCTTCTTGACTTTTTAAATGGATTTTTTTGGGGGGAGTAATATTTTATTCCATTCAACTCCACTCCTGCCAACCAGCTTGGAATTTACATACTCTATTTTTTTTAATTTAGTGGTTATTTATGATATTTTGCCATGAGTACTTAATATAATCTTAACTGACCAATGAAGTAAACATTCCCAAACAATTCAAAGACTTTAAGTTGGACTTTATCATCATCAGCATTGTCAATCTAATGTGCTGTTATTTTCCATTATCTTAGATTGTCTTTTGAAAAGCTTTATGAATTACACGTTATAATTATCAATTTATATAAACAATAGTTGTTTAAATTTATGAAATCTTTAACCGTTTATTGGCTTAGTATTCATTTTTTTCATCTTAGACTTTCTGGGGAGAACATTCTCTTGAAATACATCTTTTAAAAAGTCTTCTAGCAAGTGTCAGGAGGAAACTTTCTTAGTGTTTGAAAATCCTAAACTTTTTGCTTCATCTTCATATATGAAAGATTTTTTTTTTCTAGGCACATAGTTCTAGGCTGACCATGTATTTTCACCCAGTACCCTGAAGACTTGTCCACTGTTTTTGGTATCATTGTTGATACTCAGAAATCTGATGATGTACATTCCTTTGTAGTAATTCATCTCTTATCTCTGGATTCTTTTAAGATCTCTTTGTTTTTGGAGTAGTATAGTATGTTAGTAGATGTGGATTTCTTTTTGTTTATTCTAGCTGGTATTCATTGTGACTTCTGTATAGATTTATAACTTTTAGCTGTTACGGGAATTCTCAGCCAACATCTCTTCAACATCATGTTTTTTTTCAGCCTTTCTATACTCTCCATCAAAGCCTCTGATCAAATATATCTTAGACCTTTTCTGTGTCTCTTAACCACTCTTTCATTTTTCCATCACCTTATTCAATATTTTTATGCTACATTCTCGCCTACTTCTTCAGCTGTATCTCCATTTCACAATCACACTTCTCATTTCTAATAATTATATGCTTTTGATTCAATTCTGCTTGAACAATTCTAACAGTGATCTGTTGCTTGCTTATTTTATTTCTATAAACATGTCATCCATAGTTATTTATAATCTGTCTAAAATTTCTTTAATCCATACTTTATAATTTTAGGATCTGACCTTCTTAGGGGTGACTATATTAGTTTTATGTTGACTATCACTGACCTGACAGTCAACTTATTATGTGTGACAGTTTTTGACTGTCTAAATAGGATTTATGTTAGCTTCTGCAGATACCTAGTGCGTTCTCAGTCAGGGTTAGTTTGTACAACATGATACCTGGAAGTTACATAGTTTGCTTAGGAGTGTTAAAAACAGAGGCAAGCACCCTAACAGTGAGACAGAGGGAGGGCTGCCAAGGTCAGTTATCTTGTTAAAAGTTGGGTTAGTGTAAATCTTAGGGCAGTCGTTCTGATCAATATTCTGATGGCTATTTTCACCAAAGGAAAAATGAAGTCTTTAGAAACACCACATGCAAAATTTGCAAATGCGCTGTCTAAAACAATAAACTGGGGACACTTCTTTCTAACATGAAAAAAAAGTATAGCATTGACTAAGCAATGTAACTCTAAGCACTTTTAAAAAAGAGTGTATTTTCTAATACTTATTTATATATAATTAGAATAAATATACATGTTGCTCTTTCACAAAACCATTTAAGTTTTGGGGAGAAGATTAATTCTAGTTTTTAAATTAAAAATAATTATTCCTAATCCTTATCTAAAATTCATAAGTTATGGATTATGAACAGAGATTTTCTTCTAAAAATACATTCTTTATTTTTCATCACCTTTAAAAAACTACAAATAAAATGATATACTTCTATTCATTACTAGTAATCCTGAAGTAGATTCTGATAAAGGAAACATAAAATAGCGCTGACACTTTAGAGCCAAAGGCACCCTAACTATAACTCATCATATTCATACTGGATTCCCCGCTGGCTCAGCAGGTAAAGAATCTGCCTGTAATGCAGGAGACCTGGGTTTGATCCCTGGGTGGGGAAGATCCCCTGGAGAAGGAAATGGCAAGCCACTACAGTATTCTCGCCTGGAGAATCCCATGGACAGAGGAGCCTGTCGGGCTACAGTCCATGAGGCTGCAAGAGTAGGACCCTACTTAGTGACTAAACCACTGTTCATACTGGTATGGAAAAAGAAATTACACGAGTCAGTGATCAGGAGAAAAGGTGATTTTAAATCGCTTACCTGCTGGCTGTTTTCACAGAACAGTTTTTCTTGTGTCCTCTTTCAGCTCGGTTATCTCTCAGGAGCTGATGCTATCCAAAGTGTTTAGAACAAAGTTGTAGAAACAAAAATATTTTCATTATATTATTTCATAAGTAGAAAAGTATGCTTCTCATTCAAAGGGACTGTATTTATTCACTTGCATTACTTTTTTCTTTTATTTACCGGTTTTTCTTAAAATGAAGACGACTAATTTTGCTAGAGATGCCACGGACATACTTCTGAAAATGTCCCTAAGAGACGGCAATGCTTCCTTGAGAGCTGAACTGTTCTCAGAGTCACGTAATAGACAGCCTAGAGCTGGAGGTCTAGAACTCGGTTCTAATTCTGGCTCTCTGGGTGGTCCTGGTTAAAGTCATGTAGCCTCTCTCCTCCAATGCTTCTACCACTGCATTCAGCTGTGAGTTTCTTGGGGCTTTGTCACCTCCGATGACATAAAATATCTAATCTTACTTCTCTGTATTTAGGGGCCCAACATGGTAAAGAAACACTTAAAAACATTCCTTTTCAAAGAAATTACTGGCTTGGAAATACATAATTAGAAAAAATATATATCTGACTGCCTCCTCAAAATGCCTCACCACCGAACTCCCCTTCACACTTGCTTTACTCTAACTAATTAGAAAGAAAAAAAAGCAAGTAGTCAATATTTTTTGCTATGTGTACACTCAAACTGTAGCTTATCTCGGTTTATGCAGAAATGTGATTATATGCAAGACTGGGCTAATGAGAAGTTGTACAGCATATTAGAAATTAACCCTAATAAAAACAGAAATCTTAGTGCAGTAATAGTGTAGGAGAGATCTGGGTTCGAATCCCAGCTGTACCAGTAACAAGTCGCTAGGTATTAAAAACAGGTTTACCAAATTTATAAGCTGTGCAATATCTCTAAGTCCCAGTTTCCACCTGGAAAATGGAGATAACAATACTATCCACATGTAAGGTTGCTGTGAGTATCAAATAAGATAAACCATGTAAAACACTTAGCACTAAGACCAGAACATAAAAAGTACTGAATAAATGGTTCAAATGCTACAATTATAATTACTAAACCTGATTGTCAGTGGCTATTGTCTGATGAGTATCATAACTTTTAATGATATAATTGCTTTGAACTATCTAATGACAACATTTAGAGTCAATTACTAGCCACATTTGGCTATCTTTGAGAAGGAAGAGAACTTAAATTAGATCACAAAGAATGTTGTTAGGTCATTATTTCAGGAATGTGTGAACTCAGGAAGTCTACCTTAAATTTCTCCTAAATATCTTTCTTTCTATCCCCACGAACCACATTCCAGTCTGAACCATCAGTCTCCCTCACCTGTAGTGGCCTCTCCAGTGGCCTCCCTGCCTCCAGCCTTGCTCCCATCTAAGTCCACTCTACACTAAAGCCAGTCATTCTAAAACTAGATGTTATTGCATTATTCTCCTTAGATACCCCCCCCCCCCAAATGTTACACAAGGCTCTTATGGCCCGACATAATTTCATTGTTATTTCTAAATTGCAATTTATTATGCTTCTTCCTACCCCAACCTAACCTCCTTACTTCTAAATAATATATCCCAGCCATTCTGAACTTTTTAGTTTGGAATGTATACCATATTCTAGCTCACCTTTGGCCCTTTGCTTTATTCATTCAATCTGCCTGCGTCTCCAAAGTCCAGCACAGTGTCTGGGACATTTGTAGTGTTTAATAAATATTTGTTGAATGAATGAATGAATGAGATAAAGAAACAGGCAATGAAATCTAGTATCTGATATGTAGCTGAAACAGTATCTCATTATTACTACTTATAGAAAATAGCAACAGTTTATCTTAAGTCCATTAATCTGAAAGTGTTTCAATGTAGAAACACTTCGTACCATGAAAACTAAATTGCTTCTGAAAATAAAAAAAAGAAAATTAATTACTTTGGCATTTCTAATTCTAGTGCCTTTTTAAAAAAACATATTCAAACCAACATTTGTGACACAGATAGCTAGAGGTGACATGATAAAATCTCTACCACCGCCTTCAATTAATAGTAGTAGTTAACTAAGGTTTCTAATTTTTTAGATAAAAGATAGGTATGGGAACACTATTCCTGTTATTTGTGTTAAAACAGTTTAAAGAAAGAACACAAAAGGTCCCAAATATACTTTTCTGAAATGAAGGAATTCAACAATTTAATTAAAAAAAAAATGCAACTACAATGATCAAAATAAATTGTTAGGCTACGTATGGAACTCTGAGGTCAGAGATCCTTCTCCTAGAATGAGAATTTCTTCCTCAAATGTATAGTTTTGATGGGCTTTGTAGGGACAAATATTGGAATTATTTAATATAATTCAATATATTATTTAATATAATTCATCTATATTAAAAAGTCATCACATAAAATGAAGCTCAGAAAAAAAAATACAGGCTCAGATCTCTGGGTCATGAATTCAGCAAGTTAATATGGGAACCTAGATCTTATAAGGGGGCAAAGATGAAAAAATTAATCCAGAGTGTTATTTGAATAGAAAACATGTATTTGTATTTGAAAGATTCCCAAATTGTGTCTGCTCTGTCCCAAAGAACAAACAAACAAGCAAAAATAAAAGGTGGCAGAGGGTGGGGGAGGGGGAGGGGGGAATCAGATCAGGAATTGATGGTAAGACACAAGAGGCCCAGAACTCTGCCCTGACAAGCAGGAGGAGCTCCTCAGGTTTGGGGAGAGTCTTCATCCTCTTACTGCTAACGTTTCCTGTCTTCCTTGGACTCCTATCAGTGTCACAAGTGAGGTCAGTGTTCAGGGCTCTGACTCAACAATGTCAACTTCAGTTAATAACAAACTTCTGAATATGGTGCGAAGTGCTTCTTACCTCCAGCTCTCAGATTGCTGGACTTAGGCCAAGCGGAGAGACAAGTCCCTTATTAGTGACCTGCAGATGTATATTAAAAAATGACTCACGTAAGAATGACAGAGACATTCATAAACACAAAACCTAGTACAATGTGAGGTCTTACAAAAGGTACACCGTTTTAAAAACTGCTGAATGAAAACAAGGAAGAGAAATGTTCCATGTATATCATGGTTGCTCCTGTGGCAGAAAGGGAGCTGAGGGTTTCTGTGGCTATTTGTGATTATTTTAAAAAGATTATTAAAAGCTTCACATTCCTAACACAAGAGGAAGAAGGAAGCAAAGAGCAGAATTCCTGCTCCACAGCAATAATCTCTTTGCCACCTAATATTCAGAAGGGATTCAAGCTCAAGGCTGTTTGTTAGCAGCCACTTTTCAGGGACCTTCTCAAATGTCTACAAAAGAATTTCAAGTCTCTCCACACTTGGCCTTTCACAGGGTCCTCACCTTAAGAGGAAAACTAAAAATCTCTAAACAATACCTATGGCTCATTAAGATACTAGTAAACTCATTCAAAATGTCATACTATTAGATATTCAAGGAGGAAAACCCTCACCATTAAAACACACATACACACACACAAATGAGGCTGCTTGTAGCTGCTTCTGTCTCCTTACTTCCACTTTAAACCAACTTTCACATGTCGCTTCTGTGGTCTCCATGATACCCTCTGAGTGGTTTCCTTCAACATTTATCAACATACTATGATTACTGCTTTTCTACCCCAGATTTTAACCACCTTAGAGGAAAAGTTATGTTTTTGTTTTTTTAAAAAACAAATATCTCTTTTTGTAAAAATAAAGAGTACTTGATAGGTAATGACTGATGGAGAATAGTGATTTACTAAATGCATAAAAAAGAATTATTAAGTGAGCATGGTGTAAATGAAATGGGACTTTGCATTAGAGAACAAAAAGGCATCATAAGATGTGGGAAAGCAGTGAGGGGTGGGATTTCAAAAGTGAGGTTAATATTATAATTTCTTTATCTTGGTAAGTTGATATGGGGAAAAAAGGGGGTGATCATGCATGCTGATAGTCATTCATTCAACAATATATTGAAGGATTTCATTTCTTCATGGTCTTGCGTTTTATCACTTGGACCTAAGATTTAGCCAGTAGTTCACTGGGATTCCCTGGTGGCTTAGATGGTAAAGAATCTGCTGCAATGCAGGAGACTTAGGTTTGAACCCTTGGTTGGAAACATTCTCTGGAGAAGGAAATGGCAACCCACTGCAGTATTCTTGCCTGGAGAATCCACATGGACAGAGTCTGGTGGGCTACAGTCCATGGGGTCACAAATAGTTGGACACGACTGAGCAACTAACTTTCACTGGGCTAGTTATAAGTTGAAATAAGACATTTAAATCCCTCAAAACATGAGTAGTTTGTATGTGCTTTTATACAGACACATACATGTGCAAACTGTTTCTCATTATTCACCGATTCTGTATTCACAAATTCATCCACTTGCTAAATGTACTTGTAATGTCCAAATCAGTACTTCTGGTGCTTTGGAGTCATTGGCAGACACGCACAGAATGGGAGAAATCTGAGTACCCGTTACTGCATGTTCTCAGCTGAGGTCGGAGAAGACGCCATCAATCTTCTCACTTCGGCTCTCATACTGTAAACAAGAGTCTTTTGCCTGGTCCATTCAGTGCTACATTACTTATTTATTTGTTTGTTTTGCATTTCTGTCTTCTTGTTTTTATCTTCATTGTTTAAAATAGCCTTCTAGTACAGGGCTGACCTGCAGTATAGTCTTCCCCAGTGTAAGAGAATTGTGATGGACCTTATAGAGAAAATATGTTCATTAGACAAGCTCCCTTCAGGCATAAGTTACAGTGCTGTTGGCCATGAGTTCAATGCTAACAAATCAATAATATGTATTAAATATGGTGTCTTTAAACAGAAATACACATTGAACAAGGATATGTATTGATCTGTTAGTGAAAATGTGGCCAGAGGTTCTCAGGAACCTAACCCTGTATTTTTCCTGGAAGCAGTTTTTTCAGTATTTGCTACTTTCAAGTTCTTACCAACCTCATAGACTATAGCTACTACAAAACACAAGAATCAACTGTGTTCCTTAATTAATAACCTATCTAGACAGGATTAAAATCTGAAATGGTATATCAGAGCTTAAGTCAAAGGCTAATCCAAAAATCTGTTTCAAATATTTAAAAAATTTTAAAAATGATGCATCAACTTTCTTGTCTATATCATAGTAGCTATTTGCTAATTTTTAAATACAGAAAAAAGTTTTAACTGCAGTTAAATTATAATCTAAAGCTCAGATTTATAAGATCACTTTAGTATTTCTCAAATTCTAGACCAAAGCCATCCCAAGAAACATAAATAGAAAGCAAAATGGTTGTCTGAGGAAGCCTTACAAATAGTTAATAAGAGACATGGAAGCAAAGGGGAAAGGGAAAGACAGACCCAAATGGATGCAGGGTTCCCGAGAATACCAAAGAGAGTTAAGAAAGCCTTCCTAAGTGAACAGTTCAGAGAAAGAGGGGAAAACAACAGTTTGGGAAGGACTAGAGATCTCTTCAAGAAAAGTGGAGATTTCAAGGGAACATTTCATGCACAGATGAGCACAATAAACGACAGAAACGGCAAAGACCTAACAGAAGCAGTAGCAATTAAGAAGAAGTGGCAAGAATATGCAGAACTACACAAAAAAGGTCTTAATGTCCCGAATAACCACGATGGTGTGGTCACTCACCTAGATCCAGACATCCTGGAGCGTGAAGTCAAGTGGGCCTTGGAAAGCATTACTATGAACAAAGCTACTGGAGGTGACAGAATTCCAGTCAAGTTATTTAAAAATCCTCAAAGATGATGCTGTGAAAGTGCTGCACTCAATATGCCAGCAAATTTGGAAAACTCAGCAGCGGCCACAAGACAGGAAAAGGTCCATTTTCATTCCAATCCCAAAGAATGTTCAAACTACCACACAACTGCGCTCATTTCAGATGTTAGCAAGGTAATGTTCAAAATCTTTCAAACTAGGCTTCAATAGTACATGAACCAAGAACTTGCAGATGTACAAACTGGATTTAGAAAAGGCAGAGGAAATCAGAGATCAAATTGCCAACATCCACTGGATCATAGAAAAAGCAAAATAATTCTAGAAAAACATCTACTTCATTGACTAAAAGCCTTGGATCGTGTGGATCACAATAAACTATGGAAAATTCTTCAAGAGTTGGGAATACCAGACCACCTTACCTGCCTCCTGAGAAATTTGTATGGAGGTCAAGAAGCAACAGTTAGAACTGGACATGGAACACCGGATGTTCCAAATCAGGAAAGAAGTATGGCAGGGCTGTATATTGTCACCCTGCTTATTTAACCTATAAGCCGAATACATCATGCAAAATATCAGGCTAGATGAAGCACAAGCTGGAATCAAGATTGCTGGGAGAAATAGCAGCATCCTCAGATATGCAGATGACACCACCCTCACAGAAGAAAGTGAAGAAGAACTAAAGAGCCTCTTGATGAAAGTGAAAGAGGAGAGTGAAAAAGTTGGCTTAAAACTCAACATTCAAAAAACTAAGATCATGGCATCCCGTCCTATCACTTCATAGCAAATAGATGGGGAAATAATAGAAACAGTGACAGACTTTATTTTCTTGGGCTCCAAAATCACTGCAGATGGTGACTGCAGCTGTGAAATTAAAAAATGCTTGCTCCTTGGAAGAAGAGCTATGACCAACCTAGACAGCATAATAAAAAGCAGAGACATTACATTGCGAACAATTCAGTCACTCAGTTGTGTCTGACTCTTTGTGACCCCATGGACTGCAGCATGCCAGACCTCCCTGGCCATCAACAACTCCCAGAGTTCACTCAAACTCATGTCCATTGAGTCAGTGATGCCATCCAACCATCTCATCCTCTGTGGTCCCCTTCTCTGCCTACCTTCAATCTTTCCCAGCATCAGGGTCTTTTCCAATGAGTCAGTTCTTCACATCAGGTGGCCAAAGTATTAGAGTTTCAGCTTCAGCATCAGTCCTTCCAATGAATATACAGGATTGATTTCCCTTAGGATGGACTGGCTGGATCTCCTTGTAGTCCAAGGGACTCTCAAGAGTCTTCTCCAACACCATAGTTCAAAAGCATCAATTCTTTGGTGCTCAGATTTCTTTATAGTCCAACTTTCACATCCATACATGACTACTGGCAAAATCATAGCTTTGACTAGATGGACCTTTGTTTGCAAAGTAATGTCTCCGCTTTTTAATATGCTGTCTAGTTTGGTCATAACTTTTCTTCCAAGGAGCAAGTGTCTTTTAATTTCTTTTATATTCTTATTTTCATACTAAGTTTTCAAAGTCCTGTGTATTTTTTCCATTCACAGCTGGTGGGTGCTAGAGCCAGCTCACACACTTTGTTGACAAAGGTCCATAAAGTCAAAGCTATGGTTTTTCCAGTAGTCATGTGAGAGTTGGACTATAAAGAAAGTTTAGTGCGGAAGAATTGATGCTTTTGAACTGTGGTCTTGGAGAAGACTCATGAGAGACCCTTGGACTGCAAGGAGATCCAACCAGTCCATCCTAATGGAAATCAGTTCTGAATATTCATTGGAAAGACTGATGCTGAAGCTGAAACTCCAATACTTTGGCCACCTGATGTGAAGAACTGACTCATTGGAAAAGACCCTGATGCTGGGAAAGATTTAAGGCAGGAGAAGAAAGGGTAAGACAGAGGGTAAGATGATTAGATGGCATCACTGACTTAATGGACATGAGTTTTAGCAAGCTCCAGGAGCTGGTGATGGACAGGGAAGCCTGGTATGCTGCAGTCCATGGGGTCGCAAAGAGTCGGACACGACTGAGCAGTTGAACTGAACTGATGGACCAGATGAAAAGAAAGAAAGGAGTTGACCCACACTTTGAGATGAGAATTCTATATGATTTTCTCTATAGCTAATTTAGTCATAAATAGATGCAACTGTAAATACTAGAATGTATAAAAGGTTCTGAAATAGGATTCCAGTTCCTCTATTCTGAGGAAATGGTGAGGCTCAGTGTGGTCCAGGGAGCCACTTTGGCTGGATTTGTTCTCTTTGCTGCCTTGCTTTTCCAAGTTCTCTCAGCATTATTCTGTGGTTTTGTGCCATTCTTTATTGGGGCTGCAGCTTCTTTCTTTTGAAATGTAACTAGTATATTCTGAATCCTGGATGCGCAGGGGATCTGAACCTATGGTTGGTAATCAGGGTTGATCAAGCTAATTTGACTGACAGGTGGGCATCCCCATCATCCTTTGCCACTGTGCACATCTCTTTCCTGACACTACGACACTATTCAAGATGACTGTCCTTTAGAAAATGGCTGTTCAGTTATAGGTTCTTAATCTTAGCTCCTTAAATTCTATATATTCATTTTAAATATAATCTATGTCTGCAAAGCCTTTACTTCCAGCCACTGTGGTTGGCAAGATATCAGCTACCTACTTTTCTGGTTAGCCCAGAAAAGGATTTTTTCTGTAACCTGAGTCTTACTTCATATCTTAGATCTTAATAATCTTCAGGATAATTTTTATTATGTTGCCAAAACTTAGCCTCTGTTCACCGATACCAATAGAAACATGGAGACAGACTTTTGGGTGAAGTAAAAAGAGTAGCTTTTTTTTGCTTTGCCAGGCAAATGGGGCTAGAGCAGGCTAGTGCCCTCAAGACTGTGTGACCTACCCTGGAGGGGGTAGCGAGGAGTTTTAGCGTGTTCAAGGAGCAGGGCGTGATCAGCTCGTGGACAGTTCTCAGGTTGGTTGGCATCAAGGTGAGATTTCAAGCATTGTCAATCTTCTGGTTTCAGCCAGTCTAGGTCTATGTCCTTGTGGTTTGCAGTTTTCATCTGCAAGGGGTCTGCCTCCTATAAAAATAACTTAAGAATGTGTGTCAGGCCTTTCCCTATATTTTCCAGTGAACTGGGAGTTTGGTGATTCTGCTATGTGGCAGAATTATAGTCTAAACTGTTACCAGCTCCCCAGCCCAATAGCTATTCTTTGTTTCAACATCTTCACATTTCCCAATCATTAACTCGAGTCAACTTTTTACTTCAAAAGACAACAACACAGCGGCTTGTACATGGTTTTGATTATCTTCCTTGCCATCATGATAAGCATGGGAGAAAAAGATATTTTTCTCTCTTTGACAAGTAGAGCTGTTTCACCCATAGCTTGCTGTTGTTGTTCAGTCACTAAGTCGTGTCCGACTCTGCAACCCCATGAACTGTAGCACGTTAGGCTCCTCTGTCCTCCACTATCTCCCAGAGTTTGCTCAAATTCATGTTTAATTGAGTTGGTGATGCTATCTAACCATCTCATTCTCTGCTTCCCCCATCTCCTTTTGCCTTCAATCTTTCCCAGCATCAGGGTCTTTTCCAATGAGTCAGCTCTTTGCATCAGGTGGCCAAAGAATTGGAGCGTCAGCTTCATGTGTAGCCTACCTTCTGAAAAATGCTTCCCCTTTTGGTGCATACTGATCCCCGTGGCTCCCCTCCCCCTCACTTTCTAGGTCAGATCTTCTTTAATCCCCACAAACTTAGCATTAAACCCAGTCTCCTGACAGTAGTAGATCAGAGCTATAACTGCCTCACGTGGGCTCCAATAGCACAATCTTATACACACAGAACTAACATGGGAAACTCAGAATCATACAAAATAAAGGCAACTAAATACTAAATTATAGGGAATAGGCTCTGCAGTAAGGGCAGGAAGACAAGAGAAAATTATAAGAGCTGGGGAAATTTTTCAAAGAGAGTGGACTTAGGAACTTATTCCAAAGATACACTGGCAAAGCTATGAAAAAATATAGGTGTCCTATAAAATACACGCTATTGGCATGGCAAAGACTAGACACAGAAAACATCGTAGGTTGAACAGCCTGCAGATCAGGTATGTATGGAATAGCAACTGTTAAAAAAAGAATGACAAGCGTATGTTCAACTTTGGAATGATTGTCAGGGAAGATTGTTCACTGTAAACCGCAAGATTCAGCAGAGTGTATGTAAAATACAGATAAAGGCTTCCCTGGTGGCTCAGATGGTAAAGAATCTGCATGCAATGCAGAAGACTCAGGTTCAATCCCTGGGTTGGGAAGATCCAGGTAACATATACTAACTTTTATCTAAAAAAGGGTAGATAATACAAGTATATATGTATTTGCTTATATTTAAAATAAAAAGCAATGGAAGGACAAACAAGCAAGTAAAAAGTAATGTGTAACCTTAGGGTGATGGAGGAGACAGGAATAAAAACTAGATTTCTCTGAATGTACCTATATTAGTGATTGATTGCTACATAATAAATGATTCCCAAAATGCAGTGGATTAAAACAGCAATAAATTTTTATTATATCACATGAGTCTGGAAAGTCAGGAAGCCAGGAGAGACTTAGCTGGCTGGTTCTGGCTCTGGGTATCTCACGTGATTGTAGTCAAGATGTTGGCTCGTGTTTCAGTCACCCAAAGGCTTGCCTGGGTGAGAGGACCCCCCTGTACAGTGGTTCCTCACATGGTTGCTGGCAGGAGGCCTTTATTCCTCACCATATGGATCTCCTCTCTCCACAGGCTGCTTGAACATCCTCCTGGTATGACAACTGGCTTCCTCCAGCACAAGCTAGCCAAAAAGAGCAGAGGAAACCACCATACCTTTTGTGGCTTAGTCTTGGGAGTCACATACAGCTATTTGGGTCTCATTTCACTTGTGAGAAGCAAGATACTGAATCTAACCTACACTCAAAGGGAGGGAATTAGGATCCATCTTTGCAAGGTGTGTTAAAGAGTTTGTGTACACATGTAAAATCATCACAGTATCTAATCTTACACATTTGAGTTTGGAATCAATATATATATTATATATAATGTCTTTTATAATTATGAAAGTAAATTGAGCAATATTAAATAAGGAAACTACAATTCCTAAACATTGAGAGCAAATAAACCTAAACATATATCAAGTTGACGGTTTAAACACAGGGATAGTAATTACTTCAATTATTTTAAAACAGAGTAATTTGACTATACAGTCCTAGAAGAATATATCAAAAGGATAAAAAGAATTATAGAGAAATATTTAGCTGTTTTCAGTAATTGTAATATTATTATTCTTAAACTATCAAGCATATATCAGAATGTATATTATCCATATATATTTCACTAGTATATACACTATTAGTGTCATTCCAAAACTATTGTTTGTGTGTGTGTACCAGGATATATCAAACAAATAATTATGTTAATATATTTAGAATCCAAACCTTTGAGCAGGAGAGGAGAGATAAAAATACAAAACTGAATGAGTCCAGTGGAAAATTCTATAACCTTAAATTTGATTTGAATAATTAGTAAGATATTATCTTATATTTTCTTTTAAAAAACATATTTCTTTGCTCTGTTCACTGAAAATGTCTAGAAGTCATGAATAACCACAAAATAATGAATATCCCTACACCTAGACTGTGTTCTCCAAGTAGAATTTTCAACAAGGGAAATCATGCCTCCTTGGATGACTGATTTCGAGGCTGAGACAGGAAACAACAGTAAGAGCCTTGAAACACGGTTGAACTGGAAGGTAAAGCTGTCATAGACCAACAGGGATTGTGTCAGAAAAATCCAGGAGCCATTTCAATAATCTTCCACTAGCCAAATATGGGATAAGTGAACATAAATAGCAATAATAATTGTAGTAGTAATAACTACCACAGTGCCACATTGAATATATTAACATCCCTGAGTTCAAAATGATACTTTAAAAAGTAAATAAATAACTAAGTTATCCCCTTTGGAAGATGTCGAGGAACCAGAACTAATTACTGGGGAAACTGTTAAAGAAGAAAACTGAAGGGAAAGAAACAAGTATTTATTCCGCTTTTCCTGTTTAGATGGTAGCTCAGGAATTTCAGCTAAAATAGTTTGAGCCAAAGAAATGCTACAGCTAGAATATCACCACTCTGCAATCCCTGATGAAAAATGGATTCAATTTGGAGCTAGAGATTAAAGTTCACAGAGAGGGCAGTTCCGAAGAGATGATGGATGTAAACTGCAGGACAGCTGGACCAAGCAGGAGTCCAGGAAGGTGGATGGATATCCGGAAGTGTTCTTATCTCTGCCTTTGCTGACATGGTGTCCTGCAGAAGCAGGGCCTTTGTCATGGCGCCGACACACACATCCCCAACACACACACACACACACACACACACACACACACACACACACACGTGGTAGAGCCGCTGAAAGAGTGCTGGATGGGCTGGTGCAGCAATTGCAAGCGTGCCTGCCACCTGCCAGTGATGTGGGGAGCCCACAGTCAAGTCACGTGACTACAGTACAACCAGACGACTGCTTCACCTCTCGCTGGAAAAAACCATCTCACTGTGGCCCCTCCTAACCACAAACACACAGAAAAAGGAAATTCTCAAAAATCTAGTCCCTCCTGGCTGCGCCAACATGTTGCAAAACTACCAGAAACATCAGTGGTTGCTAAAACCAGGGGGTAAGAAACTGATAGGGAGCCATGTAATAATGGCACACCCTAAATCCACTGATGAAACGTAACATCATAAAAATAGAAACACCGCAGGTCTCATGCCTCCTGTTGTGATGCATCAGGAAGGACTCAACCTGATCACAAAATATTATTACCAAAAAGTCAAACTCGAATCTGATCTAGCCTCAGGATCCAGCTGTCACCAGCAAAGTCCATTCACAATTCCTGGGAAGTAAAAATAAGATCTGGGTAATTAAATAAATGCAAGCCCAGATGGTGCGGTGGTAGAGTCCGCCTGTCAACGCAGGAGATGCAAGAGATGTGGGTTTGATCCCTGGGTTGGGAAGATTCCCTGGGGGAAGAAACGGCAAAACACTCCAGTATTTTTGCCTGGAGAATTCCATGGACAGAGGAGCCTGGTGGGTCACAGTCTGTGGTGTTTAAAAAATTGGACACAACTGAACACGCATTCCCGAATAAAATAAAGTCTAACCTTTTCTTTTCCTTTGTGTTTGGTCTAGTTCCACTTGCTCACAGGATGCTGTCAGAGGCCTCACACCTGGTACTTCAGACCAGAGTTCCCTGCGGGAAATGGCCGCATGAACACTGACACCTCAGCTGGACCAGCCCTGTGCAGAAGTTGCCGACAGACACTCAATTCAAGATGGCGGCTGTGAACCGGGTGCAGAGACGCTGCACCCGGCACTGTCACGTGACGCGTGAGCGGCCCAGCTGTGCCCACCCCTCCCAGAACTCCGCCCCCTCAACCCTCTAAAGCGGCTCCACCCACCACCTGTCTGGGGAGTGTGTGCTCTAGAGCATAAGCTCATACCTCTTCTTTCTCAAAGAATAAATCTTTCCTTTGCTTCTGAATTGAACTGAGTCTCACTTATTGACTCAAATGAGACCAGGCAGGAGGACTCTTGCTGGGACCCAACTCAGGATGGTCAGTAATACACTGACCTGTTTACAGGAAACACAGGGGAAGGAGGAAAATATTAAATATTAATGACAGCACAGGGATGCAGTGCACCAAAACCAAAATATGACAAATTCTGCAGAACTCTTATACTCAGCTTCTTCAACTAATAAATTGTAAGGAAGACAATAAGGTTATAGAGGAGTCATAGATAAAAGAGACTCAAGAGACATATCAACTAAAAACAATGAATGAAACCTGTTTGAATCTTGATTCAAACAAACCAACTTTAAGCTGCCTTATTTATTAGTTATTTATTTGCATTGGAAGCTGTGAATTTATTTATTTGGTAAATACCTGTTGAGCACCTACTCCATGCCAGGTACAAGGATACACAGTGAACAAAACAAAAAACTTCCCCGCCATCACAGCATCTGTGATTTAGTGTCTAACTTCAGAAGGGCTTCGCTAGTGGCTTAGTTGGTAAAGAATCGGGATGGAGGCACTTGTACACCTGTGGCTGATTCATGTCAGTGTATGGCAAAGACAACCACAATATTGGAAAGTAACTTAGTGATTATATATTTACTTTTGACTGCACTGGGTCTTTGTTGCTGCCTGGACTTTCTCTAGTTGCAGTGAGCGGGGGCTCCTCCTCATTGTGGTGCACGGGCTTCTCATTGTAGTGGCTTCTCTTGCTGGAGAATGTGGGCTGTAGAACCCATGGGCTTCCGTAGTTGCGGCTCACAGGCTCTAGAGCAGGGACTCAGCAGTTGTGGTGCATGGGGGCTTAGCTGCTCTGTGGCGTGTGGAATCTTTATGGACCAGGGATTGAACCCACGTCCCCTGCACTGGCAGGCAGATTCCTATCCACTGTATCGTCAGGAAAGTCCCAAACAAGGCAAGTTTAAATATATAAATATACAGGCCTACCCTTTTTATTGTGCTTCTCTTTATGGTACTTTACAGTTATTGCATTTTTTACAAATCGAAGGTTTGAGGCAACTCTGTGGTTGAACACATTTATTGGCACCATTTTTTCAACAGCATTTGCTCATTTTGTGTCTCACTTTGGTAATTCTGGAGATATTTCAAAACTCTCATTACTATTAAATTTATTATGGTGATCTGTGACAGTGATCTTTGACAATACTATTATAATTGTTTTGTGGTGCCACAAACCATGTTCATGTAATGCAGCATTTTTTTTTCTGGTCACATTGCACAGCCTGAAGGATTTTAGTTCCCTGACCAGGGATTGAACCCTCATTCCCTGCATTGGAAGTGCAGAGTCTTAACCACTGGACCACCAAGGAAGTCTCAACACGGTGAAATTTATTAATAAATGTCATGTGTGTTCTGCCTGCTCCACACATTGGCCCTCTCTTTAGGCCTTCCTGTCCCCTGAGGCAAAACAATACTGAACTAGACCAATTAATGGCCTTCAAGTGTTCAAATGAAAGGAAGAGTTGCACTTCTCTCACTTTAAATCAAAAGCTGGAAATGATTAAACTTAATGAGGAAGACATGTTGAAAAGTGAGATAGGTCTAAAGCTAGGCCTATTGCCCCAAATGGTTAGTCAAGCTGTGAATGCAGAAGAAAAGTTCTTTAAGGAAATTAAAAGTGCTTCTGCAGTGAACATATAAATGATATATTGACATATATCATTGACATAATGATATAATGACAACTATAGTGCTGATTTGCAGAAAGTTTCAGTGGTCTGGATAGACGATCAAACCAGTCACAACTGTCCCTTGAACCAAAGCCTTATCCAGAGCAAACAAGGCTCTAGCGCTCTTTAATTCTATGAAGACTGAGAGAAGTAAACAAGCTTCAGAAGAAAAGTTTGAAGCCAGCAAAGCTTGGTTCAAAGGTTTAGATAAAGAAGCCCTATCCATAACATAAACATGCAAGGCGAAGTAGAAAGTGCTGACGTAGAAGCTGCAGCAAGTTATCCAGAAGATATAGCTAAGATAATTGATGAAGGTAGCTACACTACATAACAGATTTTCAGTGTAAACAAACAGTCTTCTGTTGGAATAAGAGGCCATCTAGGACTTTCACAGCTACAGAGAAGTCAATGCCTGGCTTCAAAGTGGCAAAGGACAGGCAGACTCTTATTCGGGGCTAATGCATATGGCAACTTTAAGTTGAAGCCAGTGCTCATTTACCATTCTGAAAATCCTAGGGGTCTTAAGAATTACCCTAAATCTACTCTGCCTGTGCTCTATAAATAGAGCAACAAAGCCTGGATGACACCACATTTGTTTACAAGATGGTTAACTGAATATTTTAAGTAAGTCCACTGCTGAGAGCTGCTGCTCAGAAAAGAAGATTCCTTACAAAATATTACTGCTCTTTGACAATGTACATGGTCATCCAAGAGCTCTGATGGGAGAATGTAGAGTAAGATTAATGTTGTTTTCATGCGTGGTAACAAAATATCCATTCTACAGCCTGTAGATCAAGGGGTAATTTCAGTTTTCAAGTATCATTATTTAAGAAATAAATTTCAAGAGACCAAGATGGCAGAGGAGTAGGTGGACCTGGAGTACATCTCTCTCCACTGATACATCAGGAATACACCTTCAGACACAGAAGTGCATGCAGAACATCAGCTGAGAGCAGGCGGGAGTACCTGACCAGAGGAAAAGAGTATATAGGCCCATGCAAAACTCAGTAGGATGAAGGAACTAGGGGGACAAACAGGAGTGTTAGTAGGACTGGACTTGCCCTCGGTGGGTGGGGGAACAGAAGCAGGGGTCTAATCCCCACATCTGGGCAATTGTCTGAGTCATAGGAGAAATGTTTAAGGTTGAGAGTGAAACAACTGCTCTGTGGCAGCCTAAATGGAATGAGAATCAGACAGTCCTTGCTGCAGCCATACATAGCCCGGACAGGGATGCAGGTCCCCTGGAAGGCGCAGTGGCTGAGAGCTGGAGTTTAGGGATTGTGGAGCAATCCCAGGGCAAGGGCTGCTGTTGACTGCAGAGAGACGATCGAGGGGATGTGAGGGAGGAGATTGTGGAGGGAAATGCCTGTGGAGGAAAGCTGGGCAGCCATGGAAGTAAGGTGACACTAATGGGTCACACGTAGAGGGTGGAGCCATCACCATAGCCTCTCTGCCCCCACATGCCAGCATCAGCAGCTGAACAACAGAGACACTGGCACATCAAACGCCTGATACACTGAACCACAGAGTAGGACCCCAGCCAGGGGGGCCCTGTAAGTGCCTGATGTGTGGATCTACAGAGCAGGACCCCAGCCAGGGCGCCCCTGTAAGTGCCTGATGTGTGGATCTACAGAGCAGGACCCCAGCCAGGGGGCCCATGTAAGTGCCTGATGTGTGGATCTACAGAGTAGGACCCCAGTCAGGGGGCCCCTCTGTGTGCCTGATGTGTGGATCTACAGAGTAGGACCCCAGTCAGGGGGCCCCTCTGCCTGATGTGTGGATCTACAGAGTAGGACCCCAGCAAGGGTGCCCCTGTAAGTGCCTGATGTGTGGACCCCAGCCAGGGGGGCCCCTCTATGTGCCTGATGCACAGAACAACAGGCAGCCTGATGCTCCAGGCTAAGGCGCCCTCTAAGTGCCTGAATGGGCAGAGCTACAGAGAAAGACTGGCCAAAGAGGCCTTCTGATCGCCAGCTATAAAAGGCTCAAAAACAGATTCTGACAGGGGTATGACTCCTGCAGCAGAGGCAGTCTATGTCCCTGAACATCTGGTGCTGCCAAGGTCCCCACAAGCCAAGCAGCTGTGCCACCTTCATGTTCAACTCTCACTGGGTCAGAGCTGCCACAGGCAAAAAAAGTCTTGCACCTATGTGCACAGGGTCACTGATGAAAGAAATCAAAGATGACATAAACAGGTGGAGAGATAGTCCATGTTCCTGGGTAGGAAGATTCAATATTGTGAAAATGACTATACTACCAAATGCAATTTACAGATTCAATGCGATCCCTATCAAATTACCAATGGCATTTTTCACAGAACTAGAACAAAAATTTCACAATTCATATGGAAACACAAAAGACCCTGAATAGCCAAAGCAGTTTATAGAAAGAAGAATGGAGCTGGAGGAATCAACCTTTCAGACTTCAGATTTTACTACAAAGCTACAGTCATCAAGACAGTACGGTACTGGCACAAAAACAGAAATAGAGACCAATGGAACAAGATAGAAAGCCCAGAAATAAACCCATCCACCTATGGGTACCTTATTTTTGACAAAGGGCTAATGTAAAATAATGAAATTAGAACACTTCCTAACACCACACACAAAGATAAACTCAAAATGGATTAAAGACCTAAGTATAAGACAAGAAGTTATAAAGCTCTTAGAGGAAAACATAGACAGAACACAATGACATAAAGCAAAGCAAGATCCTCTATGACCCACCTCCTAGAGTAATGAGAATAAAAACAAAAGTAAACAAGTGGGACCTGATTAAACTTAAAAGCATTTGCACAGCAAAGGAAACTATAAGCAAGGTGAAAAGACAACCCTCAGAATGGGAGAAAATAATAGCAAATGAAACAACTGACAAAGGATTCATTTCCAAAGTATACAAGCAGCTCATACAACTCAATACCAGAAAAACAAACAACCCAACCGAAAAGTGGGAAAAGACCTAAACAGACATTTCTCCAAAGAAGACATACAGATGGCTAACAAATACATGAAAAGATGCTCAACATCACTCATTATTAGAGAAATGTAAATCAAAACTACAATGAGATACTACCTCACACTGGTCAGAATGGACATCATCAAAAAGTCTACAAACAAAAAATGCTGGAGATATTGTGGAGAAAAGGGAATGC